CTACAACGGAGACTATAGGTAAACCTCAAGCTCAGATGAAGGGATGCTATTTTCGGTCGGACCGACATGTTCCAGGGAGCCTGCATGCACCACACTCGAAACTCCTAATCCAAAATCCCGAACCAGCGATTCTATGGGCAGCTATTTAAACCAGAATAGCCAGTCTGTCATGTTTGGTTTTGGGGGCTTGGGGCCTAGTTACAGACTCAACCCCGAACCACTTGCCACAGCCGAAACTCATCAACTCAGGCAAATGCAGGACAACTTGCAATTTCAGGCATGTCGCACCCTGGACCCACCTGAAAACCTATGAGCCCGACACCTATGTTGGTATTATTATTATTATTACGATTCGTGTCATTATTGTATATTAGTGGTATTATTAGTCTCAGTATTATTAATACTGCTACTACCACTCTTCTTCTTTATCTTATTCCTTACCGTGATTATAAATCGTGTCATAACTAGTAACCCTAAACCCTAAACCCTTTTGTTCTTACTACCTACACCAGCCCTGACACTTAGCGCCTGGAGGCTCCTCTTCGGTTGCAGTCGGGGCGATGCCCTCGGCGCCATGCGCGGCGACGTCGTCGGCGTCTTGCTGCCGCCCTAGGGTGTAGGGTTGAAGGGTTTACAGCGTTAAGCAGATCTGGACTTTGAGGGGGCTTCGGGTTTAGGAGATGTCGGTTCTAATGCTAAGGTTTCTGAAGTTTTAGTAATTTTAGTGCTTAGGACTCTATGTGGCAGCAGAGTTCAGGACATCAAGGTTTCAGGTTTTAGGACTTGCGGTTGAGAATGCAACCCATGTTATTGAAGCTTGGGGCTAGGTGGTGGAAGAGTTGAGGACTTCAAGGCTGTAGGGCTTTAAGATTTAAGGAAGCTTAGGGCTTAGGGTTCAGGATTTAGGGCAGACTCAGCCTCGAACATCCTATATTATGTCAAGATTGATTGGGTGACATCTAGATGCCACTGATGTCCACGGGACGACTGCGCCATACATCGTCCCTGCCGTCCCAGGTGTAAGACCCGTTCTTCACATTTCTTCGCTGAGAAAGCAGGCCTGGGACCGATTTGTCTCCAATCCAAATGCGCTGCATCGGGGCTTGTCCCGGGTCTCCTCCTTAAGTTCTTGCATGAGGTCCTTCAAGTCGCATTCTTTACTGGGCACCAAGGCGATGCGAGCCTTCAGCACCGCCACCAGGGAGGGACGCAGTTCAGGCGAACACTGTAGCACGAGCAACGGGTAAGTTTCCGGCCATGAACATGCGAGGGATGTGTCTCCGTGCTCCCAGCAAGTAGAAGTTAGAAGTAGAAGTAGAAGTAGAAGTAGTAGTAGTAGTAGTAGTAGTAGTAGCAGTAGCAGTAGTAGAAGCAGTAGTAGTAGCAGTAG